CTTCCCTGGGGCGTGTCTCTATTCCGTCCTGCCTCAGATACAGGACTACCAAGAGGGTTGTCTGCCAGGAGACCACCAAAAAGTATCCCCCCAGCCATCTGTAAGCATATATTGCAAAGGAAGGGCCAAGGCTTGGTGGGGACCCCGTGGTCACGGCCAGCTCTCCCCCATAGGAAACGGGAACCTAATAGGTAAGAGCAGGGTGATCTGGGCTGAATCGCTTAACCTCCCAGAGCCTTGGTTTCTTCATCTCAAAGGAGGGAGGGGGAGTGATTCCTTTCCCATAGATGTGTGTGCAAGATGACAACTGCAAAGTTCCTGGCATATAGTAGGTGCTCAGTAAACGTTACCTAATCCTATTGCATGGTAACCAATGTCCTGGAGTGGGAAATGGACTAACAGGAGGGAGACCTTGATAGTAGGCATCAGGGCAGAGCAAGAGACTGCTTTCTTTCCCTGTCCCACCCACGCCTTGCTGGATCACAGCCAAGCTGAGGCCAGGCTGCTCGGGGAACCCAAGGCATGGGCCTGCTCCAGCTGCTGTACAGGAGGTGTCACACGCCCCTGACAATTAACTGTTAAGTGGAGGTGGCAGGGGCAGTAGGTGCTCTGGAAGTAGTGACATCTCTGATTCAGGGAGTCAGGAGAGGTCCTAGGGAGAAGGTGACCCTGAGCTGACCTCCCAAGAACAGGCTCAGTAGGGGGTGTTTCAAAGCTAAAGCCATTCAGAGGCAGCAGCATTGAAGGAAGGGGCTCACAGCGACCTGTCCAAATGGCAGTGTCCTGGGCTTCTCCTTGGAAATCTTCAGCTGCTGGGACACAAAGGAGGCATCAGTGTCCACCTTGGAGTGGGTGGCTCCCCATCCTTACAGAATAAACTCCTCAGCCTGGCCTCCAGGCCCTCTCAGCTCATCTCCCAGCCTGGAAACCCCCTCCTTGGAGGCCAGGTGGGCTGTGGGCTACCTTCCAGCATCTTCCCTTTGTCCACAGGCCTTTCCCATCTCTACTCTGCAGCACTGTGGCCTCCATGAGGCCTGCCCAGCACCTGCAGCTGGAGATAACTGTCTCTCAGCTTCCTCACCCTGGGCCTCAGAGGAAGCATTTGCATGGTCTGCCTCCAAAGACACCATGCACATGTGCATGTGTGTGTGCACGCACAGGTGTGAGCCTATGGGGCTGAGTAGGTGAGAGGTTGGCATCTGCTCCTGGAATATGGCCCCAGGCTGGGGCCACCAGGACAAGAGATTGGGCTCCCCTTTAGTGTCCTTGTCTCTCTCTGGGTATCTGGTTCTCTCTAACCTTCAATGATTCCCTACTGCCCGCAGAATGAAGCCAGAGAGCCAGCAGAGCATGACTCCCAGGGGTTCCACCTACCTCCAAAAAGCCGGCACTGTGGCTGCTAGGCCTCCATGTCCTCCAGCTCACTTCCAGCCCTGCTGCCCCCAGCCCTTCCTAGACAAGCCCCATCTCCATCACTAATCCCCAGTGTCTCCTTGGACCCCTTGGGTGGTCTCTGGGCCTCCCCAATAAAATGGAAATCAGGAAGCACAATAGACTACAGACTACACAGGCCATCAGCACTGAATTATTAGCACCCTGTGCCATTGACCTCAGGCATCCACAAGTCCCCGGAGGCAGGGTGCATTGTGATCAAGGTTCAAGTCCCAAGGGCAAGTTTGTCCACCGGCACCCAGGTCTAATCCTGGCCCTTCCACTTAGCTGTGCCTTTATGTTCCTCAGTCTCTCACATGTACAACCGGATGATAGAAGTACTAATTTTAAGGGTTCTTTGCTAGGATTAAAGGAGCTAACTCTTGTAAAGCCCTCAGAGGTGGCTAACTCTTATAAAGCCCTCAGAGCAGTCCTGATTACATAGAAACCCTCCTTAGATGTTGTCTCTGAACATTTTGTTGTGAGACTTTCATTTTTTGCAAGGTGAGGATCCCCACCATCCTTGCAACCCTGGGTGCAGCCTGAGGACAGGAAATGGGTGAAAGCCTCAGGATGTCATGGGCCCTAAGTAGATATGTGTAAACTGAAGGGATAAATGGAACAATTCAGCTGAGGCTCAGAGACAGTGAATTGTGTCCTAACAAAAGGGAACCAGAGGGTCTGAAGGAGGAGAAAATGAGGGCTAATATGAGAGAAGGGACAGGGACAACAGCCCTTTGGAAGCTGTGCCACTCCAGACCCTGCTGAGCACCACCTGTGCAGGGAGAGAGAAGCGGAGACACACGGACCCAGGCAGCTAGCAAGCAAGGTAGGGGGGGAGATTCAGGCCATGGGACGGGCTGATCGAATGCTCTGGGAGGTGTGAGAGGCCACATTGGGTCTGGGGTCTGAGCAGGTGGGCTAGAGCTGGGGAGCATGGCCCAGTCTATATGGGGGTCCCTTTGTTCTCTCCTGTTTTTTTTTTTTTGAAGAACATTAAAACATTTTATTGTATTGGAAGGAAATTCTAGAAGATAAATTTTGGTAAATTTTCATGAGCCGTAGAAGAAAAACAAAATGGAGACAAGTGCAATGGCAGGGGAGGGGAAGGTCAGGCAGCAGGGCAGGAGTTTAGGAGTTTTTTTTTTTGAAGAACATTAAAACATTTTATTGTATTGGAAGGAAATTCTAGAAGATAAAGTTTGGTAAATTTTCATGAGCCGTAGAAGAAAAACAAAATGGAGACAAGTGCAATGGCAGGGGAGGGGAAGGCCAGGCAGCAGGGCAGGAGTTTAGGAACTGGTGCCCGCTGTGGGGCCATTAGCAGCTCAGACTCTGCAGCTGCTACAGAATGAGTACCTGGCATTGGACTTGCTATGACAAGATTCTGTTGTTGCCTGTCCATCGAGAGTGGATGCTGGCTCTCTCTCATGAACTGAAGCAGGTGGCAGAGCTTGAGGTGACTCCAGCAATGGTGCAAGTGCTCTTGCCAGGGTTGCCTCCAGCTCTGGAGCCAACAATGCCCTGGAGCCAGCAATGCCTTGGGTGCTGGGCCTGGCTCCCACTTTGGCGATGTTTCTAGAGCGGTTATGTAGGCTTCCTTTGGCTCTGGGGCTGCAGCTGGTGATGGAGCCTTTGACTCTGCCTCAATGGGCCTCGAGTGCTCCTGCTGAGCCAGGAGAAGGTTAGCATGGCGCTCCACTTCTGAGCCTGGCAGGTTTAGGTGAAGATAGTCCAGCAGCACCTTCAGGCAAGAACATTCAGGGGGTGATAGAAATCACTACAGTACAAATCCAGCTAGGTGCTCAGGATGGAACACATGGCATATTTCTGATAGTCCCAGGGCCTGCTGTCCTCATTAGAATCAGGAACGATGCATCCATATCTTTCGAAGAGTCAGTCCAGCAACTGCTGGGGGTTGGTAAAGGCTTGGTACTTAAAAAGGAAGGTTTGGATATATGAGTGGTCACTGCCCAGGAAGGCAGGCACCAGGTGCTCCATCAGTGCCTCCTGGGAATGCTGCTGCCTGCCTTCCTGAAGATTCCACAGTGATCCGACACACAAGGAGATTTAGTAGTATCCTTCAATGCTGCTGCCTCTGAATGGCTCTAGCTTTGAACCCCCTCTGCTGAGCCTGTTCTTGGGAAGTCAGCTCAGGGTCACCTTCTCCCTGAGACCTCTCCTGACACCCTGACACAGAGATTTCTCTCTCTCCAGAGAACACACTGCCCCAGCCACCACCTCCACTTAACACTTAATTGTTTACTGCCAAAGGCCAGTCAAATTCTCTATTATATAACAATGGCTGATTGATTTCTTTGACTTAGATGTTGGAATGTTTATATCAGTTTTATTCATGATGGCCAAGAACTAGAAACAACCCAAATGCCCACTGACATAAACAAATCATCATATGCATACAGGGGAATAGGACTCAGCAATACAAAGCAATATATACTAACACGTGCAAAAGCATGCATGAATCTCAAAACTTTATCAAGATCAAAGCCAGACACAAATGCATTCTACAATATAGAATTATATCAAATTCCAAAAAAGCCAAATCTGATAGTGACAGAATAGTTATTTATTCTGCTTTCCCATCTGACTTTATTTCACTTTTCTCCTATAGAACTCCTACTTCCCAAGCGGCGCACTGTAGCAGTGCACCACCGGGCCGGCCCCCATAATTTCACAATTTAACAAAAAGTTTAAAATCCTGGACAGAAACAATCCTGTAACTTGTTACAAACACAATTCTCCTTATTCCTTTTTACCAGGAGTTGGTCTTGGGCCGATGAATGTCCCAGTTCCTAGTGAGACACATTCTTTGTAAAAAGCTTTGTGGGTAAGAAAGGTATTTGATATCTTTTGTTTTTTGGCATTGGTTCCCATTTTGTTCAGGAGACAGCAGAACATAGGGATTTGCATGGAGGGCAGGCAGCTGATCACAAAACACGTGACAATCACAAAGGGCTGAACCCCTTCCTATGGAAGTGTCTCCAGAGCCTGTGTGGGCAGCTGGGGGTGGGGGCGGGATAGCAGCTGGGAATGCTGCAGTCAGGGCCCCAGCTGCCCAGCAGGTCCATCTGGTGGTCACAAAACCAGCCCTGGGCCCAGATCAGCTCTGGAGGACAGCAGAGAGTCTTTCTGGCCAGGGGAGGTAATGGAAAAATGGGTTAGTGCTTTCTGGAGGCTTTGCCAGCCACTGCCAGTGGGGACAGGGAGGAGAGCACGGCCCTCCTCAGGCTGAGCAGATGGCTGCCCCGGTGGCAGTGTAGATCCCCAGAGATCCCTGGTGGCCTCTGCAGGTAGAAGGCCAAGCTGCTGCCACCGCCTGTGTGGGCAGCTGGGGGTGGGGGCGGGATAGCAGCTGGGAATGCTGCAGTCAGGGCCCCAGCTGCCCAGCAGGTCCATCTGGTGGTCACAAAACCAGCCCTGGGCCCAGATCAGCTCTGGAGGACAGCAGTCTTTCTGGCCAGGGGAGATAATGGAAAAATGGGTTAGTGCTTTCTGGAGGCTTTGCCAGCCACTGCCAGTGGGGACAGGGAGGAGAGCACGGCCCTCCTTAGGCTGAGCAGATGGCTGCCCCGGTGGCAGTGTAGATCCCCAGAGATCCCTGGTGGCCTCTGCAGGTAAAAGGCCAAGCTGCTGCCACTCTCCAAGCAGCCCACATCAGGCCAATCTATCCAATGTCTGAGAGTTTCCAGAGAAGGAAAAGAGGAGCCTCATTTTGGAGTATTGTCGGCCTGCCTGGGGAAGGGGATGGCCACATGGGCCTGCCCTCTTCCTACCACCTGAAGAAAGTGGGGCTGGGAGAGAAACAGGGCAGGGGCGAGGAGTCCTGGAAGCCTCTTCTGGAAGTTCGTGGGCTTTTCCCCAAGAATTCTGGAGCATTCCCCAGGAAAGCTGGAGTTGGGGGAAGCCTTACAGGCAGAAGTTCCCCCAGGGAGTGTTCAGGATCTGTCTGACAGACGAAGTGAGAGCAGGAACAAGATCAGGGACCTCAGGGAGGGAAAGACAGAGCCCTGGGGGGGGGGGTTATTGATAGCAAAGCAGTGTGAGAGTGCTTTGGGGGTGATGTGAATGTTCTATCTTGATAGAATGTTCATGGGTGTATGTATCGTTAAAACTCATCAAATGCATACTTAAAATGGATACATTTGATTGTATGTAAATTATACGTCAATAAAGTTGATTTAAAAAATCAGTTCCTCTGACCACCCCTCACAACCAGGTAAGGCTGCTGGTACACACGCCCACCACAGCCTGTATTTCTCTTCCACTGAACTTCCCTGAGTTTGTAATTATGTTTTTATTGGTTTCCTGTCCATTAATTGCCTCCAGACGGGGAGCACCAAGAGGTCCCGGATCCTGTCTCCCTCGCTCACCACTGATCGCTAACCAAGTGGCACCACATCTGCACACAGTAGGTGCTCAATGAACACTTCTTAAGCAAATGAATTCGGGAGCTAGTGAATGGAAAGGGCCGAGACCCAGACAGGAAGCAAAGGAAAGAGCAGCCTCTGGCGGCGGCCAGCCACGGCCCTGCTGCTAGAGCTCTGTGGACTGGATGACCTCGGGGCCCTGCCATGTGGCGCTCTGGGCCTGCCTGCTGAAGTTGAGTCTGTGCAGCTCCTTGGAGATCTCCAGGAAGGTCTTGCCTTTGGTCTCAGGAAGGAACAAGCCTGTGTATACAGCCCCACAGACACAGACGCAGAGGAAAGGAATGTAGAGGAAGTGGGACAAACCCTCCTGTGGGTTAAAAGAGACCCCGGGACCTGGTGTGGGCCCATTCAGCCCCACAAGGAAGGCCCATAACAGGTCACACAAGACCCCTCCCCTTCAGTCTCAGTAGCCCTGGAAGGAGGCCTTCCTCTAGGGTTCTCATGCTGACAGGGACAAAACCTAAGGCAGGGCTCCCCAGGGGTATGGGCAGACCTACCATGAGGAAGGGGAACCCCAGCCCGACCAGGAAGAGCATGGTCCACATGAGCACCCCACAGACCACGTAGGCAGCAGGCCTGGCAGTCTGGTCAAACAGCTCTGTGCTCAGGATCCCTGTCACTCCGGCTGGAAGAAGAGGCAGGGACAGGGGGCTGCCAGCCAGGGCTCCCTGCTGGCACCAGCCCAGATGTGGGGGTGGGGGTTGGGCCTGGTCTGTATGGGGGCCCCTTGGTGCTCTCTCCAGCCATTCCCTCCCAGAAACCTTGGCACAGGAGGGTCGGGGGTCACACCCACCCACCATTCACCCAGACGCCTGTCATCCATCGTTCCTTCAGCACAGTGAAGCCCAGAGCCCCTTGGCCCACTCACCTGGGCCAATGCCAAAGCTGAGGATGAAGGCAAAGATGCAGGACATGGCCAGGTAGGGCATCCAAGGGAAGGAGCTCTGCAGCAAAGCAGACAAGACGTGGGGTGAGGAGGGAAGCAAGCCGGACCCCGCCCCGCCCCACCCCGATCACTCCAGCTACCTGCAGGCACAGGGCCACTGTAAAGATGGTCCCCCAGCAGGTCATCAGGCAGTACCCCCCAATCAGCAGCACTCGTCGACCCACCCTCTCGATTACCACACTCTGCAAAGAAAAGGAGCCACTCAGTAACTGACGCATGTGCCAGGCCACCAGCCCCTTGATTTCCATGCGGGCAATGTGGAGGGTCATCAGGCAGTACCCCCCAATCAGCAGCACTCGTCGACCCACCCTCTCGATTACCACACACTGCAAAGAAAAGGAGCCACTCAGTAACTGACGCATGCGCCAGGCCACCAGCCCCTTGATTTCCATGCGGGCAATGTGGAAGGGCTCATGGAGAAGCTGGTGATGGGGGTGGGACGCTTCAAGAGATTACAACGTTATTAATTTCCTAGAGGACTTTGATCAATTTCATTAAGTTTCTTAACCTCAAAATGGTGGTGCGAGTGCCCAGCAAACAGTAGGTGCTCAACAGACGCTCGCTAACTCACTGTTTTAACAGAGTGAGCTGCAGTGAAGAACAGCTGAACACAGAGGACTGCAGTCCTAGGAGCTTCAGCACTCGGGTGGTCCTCCCTGCAGGGCTAGCGGAGGGTGGGTCAGACTCACGCTGACGAAAGCTGTGAGCAGCTCGCAGCTCCCGGTCCCGATGATGGCGTACTGGACCTTCTCCTCTGCCATTCCCGACTCCCGGAAGACAGAGGAGGCGTAGGCGTACACCTGGGGGGCGGCCCAGGGCGGCGCTTGAGGCCTCGCCCCCTCCTACCTCCCTCGGCTCCCGGCTCCCTACAGCACAAAGCCCCTCACACGATGGCGGGGCCGGGGGCGAGTCTCACCGAGTCGGTCCCGCAGAGCTCCATGGCGCTGCCCAGCACCACGATGCTTATCACCTGCCTCCGCAGGGCCCGATCCCGGAACAGCTCCCACGGGCGCTGCGCCCTGCGGCCCTGGCAGGCAGAGCGCTCCTCCTCCAGCTCCTCCAGCTCCGCCGCCACGTCCTGGGTGCCTCGCAGCCGCCGCAGCGCTGAGAAAAGGAAGGGCTGCTGAGTTCCCTCTCCACCTCTTTGGTCTCCTACAGTGAGCCCCACTCCACTCCACAATTTCTCCCCCGGTCAGCTGGGGATGATCTCCCTGGCCCCTTCATTTCCCAGGGCTGCTGGGAGGGTGGAGAGCACCATGGAGGAGAAAAGGCTTTAGAAATTCTGGGTCTGTGGACATATCAGACAGGACATGATGATGTGGCAAATTGCCATTATCATCCCCAATTTTTCACCCCTCCCTGTACCCACACCCCTTGCTATGTGATTTAGTTGTTCCTCCACTAAGGAGGCAAGTCTACATCCCTGCCCCTGACTCTGGCTCCGCTGTGTGACTTGCTTTGGCAACAGGAGGAGGCTGCAGTGAGGGCATGCCACGTTTCAGCCTCAGCCTTAAGGGGCTTTGCTCTCTTCTACTTGCTCATCTGTCATCATTGTAAGAACATGCCAGGCTAGAGCACGGGTCCCAGGAGGATGATGAGAGACACTAGGAGCATAGGTGGCCCAGCTGACCATCCTAGATCAGCCAGTGCCCAGCTGACCTGCAGCTGTAGGAGTGATCAGATCAGAAAAGCCACCCAGCCAGATCCAGCCTAGGTCAGCCAGCCACAGAGAATTCGCAGGCTTGAGCCAAACAACTGCTTCTTTTGTTTGCCACTGAGATGTTATGAATGTCCATTAGGCTGTGATAGAAAACTGATCTATAAATTGGCACTGGGAGTAGATGCTACGTTAATAAGGACCTGTAAGACATGGTATTGGTTCTAAGACTAGGCAGAGGATGCTGAGGAAGCTGGAAAAACGGAAACCCATGTTATGTGGTGCAGGAACATGGAAGAAAGAAAAGAGACCTAATGAACTTCGACCTGTAAGACATGGTATTGGTTCTAAGACTAGGCAGAGGATGCTGAGGAAGCTGGAAAAATGGAAACCCATGTTATGTGGTGCAGGAACATGGAAGAAAGAAAAGAGACCTAATGAACTTCTGGACTTGAGCAAAGGAATCTCCAGATGTTGAAAGCATGAAGTGGTTGCTCTTAGCTGAGTAGTTTCTACGCTTACTATAAGACACGAGACATGAGCTCAAAAAAGAACTGGCCAGTTTGCAAGCAGAATTCAGAGAGAACAAAATTTGATTAGATTTAACACATTCCAGAAATTGCTGGATTAGTTAAAAATAAAAAAACTGTTTCTCCTCTGTAGCCTCTCTGGCTAGAAGAATTCCAAATTAAGTTATAGCCTGAGAGCAAAGATCAAATCCAGAGAACTACCAGTAAGACCTGGACTCAGAGTAAAGATCAAATGAAGGGTGTGGCCTAAGGCAGTGCCTTGTAGACCCCACAGCCGGAAAAGGGGGCATTTAAGAGGCTTAATGGTGTCGGTCCACGGTAGCCTGACATGCTCTAAATACCAGTAATTAGGTCTTTAGAGGGAAGCACGTCTCAAAAAGAATTGTGGATGTGGCTTGTTGGCATAAAAATCAAATTCACAGAAAACTCATACTGATTTTGAGCAGGTTGTATTGACAAAAGCTCTGACACCTTGGACAGAAAGAGACTATGAAATAGAAAGACTTCTGTGCCCCAACTTTATATAGGAAGCAGGCTGAGAAATTTGTTCAACCACCCAAAGCAGCGTATTTTCCAGTGCTATCCTCAGAAGGTATGAAGGAAGATGGTGGAAAAGGAAAGACGTCTCAGAGGGTGGAAGTGAAAACCACGGAGAACTTGGGGAGCCCCTTTCAGGGCACAGAGCCAGGGCTTACTCAAGGAACATTTCCCATCCCCCAGGCAGGGGAACTGGCAATATTTTCCCAGGGGCACTTCAGAATTGTTGTGGATCTGTGACTGCTCCGTGCCTTCCCGGCCTCAGTACTGGAGTGACAGTGCTAGTTCTGGTTACCTCATCTCACTTTCACCACAGTACGCTGAATGTGGGAGGGGAAGACTTGTCTTTTTAGCTCCTAGGTCTCTGGATCAAGAAAAGGCACATATAGATTTAATGTGATCTTAAAATCCAGGACTTTAAGCCTGATGCCATGATCGGATGTGACTTTAGGGAAATCCTCAGATGCAACTGAGCATATGTGACACAGAGGAGGGCATAAATAATCATTGTGGCCATGATGACAAATTCAGAAGGGTATATTAATGGGCCTTGGTCTTCACCCTCCCCCCAAACCACACCCCCAGCCACCTGAGAGGATACACCTTCCCTTCATGGACTCGGCAGCATGACTCCCTTTAGCCAATGAGTGTTGATGGGCACGAGGGGACCAAAGGTGTGGAAAGAGCTTACGCAACTGGATTTGCTTTCTTGTGCCTCTGCCGTCACCAGAATAAGAACATGCCTAGGCCTGCCCATTGGTACCAATGGTGAGAGGAGAGACGTGTACAATGGAGCTGAACTGCTCCAGCCCAGACCAGCATAGACTGGCCACCTCCCACCTTCCCGACGCCATGAGCTGGCCCAGTTGAGTGAGTAAAAGATATGAGAAATGATTGTTGCTTTATGCCAGAGATTTTGTGATTATTCCTTCAATGTCCTTATTGTAGCCACAGTTAACTGACAAGATGACCACCACGCAGCTGGCGCTGGGCAGGTGAGGTCCTGTGCAGGTATTTCACCTTGCACGTGCGTGTGTGTGTGTTTAGCGGGGGCTCTTTCTCTGCATCACCTGGGGTTCCTAGATGGCAGTGGCTGTGTCTGATCTATCCTGCTGCCTTGGCATTTAGGACAGCCCCTCACAAAAAGTTTTGAAGGGATGTACGGATAGGTCATGAAATTGGGGCACACAGAGAGGGACAGCTTTTCTCTGATAAATGAAACTCAAGAAATGGGGACCTATGTGCTCCAGTGAGATGCACCCCTTGGTAAGGGTGGTCTGGGACCCAAGGGCAAGAACTCACCTGCCAGGCAAGCCTCGGTGTCTCCACGGTCAATGAGGAGGTACCGTGGGCTCTCCGGGAGCAGGGGCAGGGAGGTTAGCTGAAGCAGACCGGGCACCAGGCAGCTGGCCAGCAGCAGGGGCCAGGCCTGCGGGCCACCCAGGAGCTCCCTCGGGAGGCAAAAGAGAGGGCAGGCTAGAAACCTCCTTGCCAGAGTCCTACCCACCTCCCTCCCTCCCCCTCACCCACCTGCTAACCTGCCTGCAAAGGGTCAACACTGCCCTGTGCCTCTTGTCATGTAATTCTGGATCCAAACATCAAGATCTTTCTCACTCAGGGAGGGACCAAGAGACAGTAGGGCCACTGCCCCACCACAGCCCTAACAACTCCTCTTCCCAGGGGTCCAAGCTCTGCCCTCTCCTCTTTCTTCTGGGATGACCAGAACACACTCCCATTAAAAACCCAAATCTCCACCCTCTCAAGATTTGTTCTTTGCTCCCTGACCTGGAGAGGATAGAAAACGGCAATACACACTACAGTGTGGCTGACTGGTGCCCATTTTGTGTACTGGCCACATGGATGTGGACAGGGATTTGATGCCTTCATGCAAAGAAGCAATGTCTTAATCTACTTACTGCGTGGGGAAGAAATTTAGGCAGAGAAGGGTTTTTACTGGCATCCCTGAAACCACTCAAAGCAGATGGGTAAGGACACTTACCTTAGCCCAACCACCTGTCCCATCACGAGCCCCAGAGCCGTGAAGATGGCTGAGGTCATGGCCACGGTTCCTCGGAGCTCTTTGGGAGCACTCTCCCCCAGGTACATGGGCTGGACACTCATGCTCACGCCTGGACATGTGCATAGCAGAGGTACATCAGTCACCAGGCAGGACCCCGTGACACCCAGCCCCTCTCCCCCACCTCACTCGGCACTGCCCAGCCCCTTGTCTGCTGGATCCTGGCACCAAGGTCCACTCGCTCACCCCACACACTGTGAGGGGTTCCACCTCACCTGCTATAGGGCCAACAGGACCCCAACCCCACCCCTCAGGAGTTCTGAAAGAGAAGAAGTCTTTCTCAGATCAGCTCCCATCCTGGTCCCTTGCCACAGTCCCATGTTTGTGGAATCTTTCTAGGTCCCAACATTGTGACAAGTGGGAAGGGCTCTGAGGGGACCGAGTAGGGTGGAGTAGAGGAGAAGGGCAGGACCGCATCCTGGATGCCCACCAGCTGTGCCGGCTGTCATGTCCACGTGTTCACTGACCAGTACAGCTGGAGGCTCTCTCCCCGTCCCGGCTCCCAGGGAAGCACCAGCACTTACGCAGCCAGCCACACCTTCACTGCCCACCCCACATGGCGACAAATGGCAGAAGCGAGGAGGCCACAGTATCGGGCATCACACCTGGGAATACTGTAGGGCAAGTGGCTCTGTCCCCCACCTGACCTGGGACCAGTGTCTCCCAGGAACATCCTGCGCCTCGCTCGCTCCCCCTTCCTCCCTCTCTCCCTCCTCCGTCCCTCTCTCTCATCCTCCTCCCCCCCAGTGCTCTTTTTTCAAGCATTTAGGGAGATTTAGGGAGGGATTCCTTCTGTGCTAGGTACTCAGGTCACAAAGATGAAGGCTGACCTGGTTCCTTTACCCTGGAGAGTGGGCTGTCCTTAGTGACTGACTTCTAAAGAAGAGAATGTGGTAACACTGATGGTGTGTGACCTCTGGGGTTAGGGCACAGAATGCACTGACGCTTCCTCCTCCTCTCTCTCTCCCTCTCTCATCGCTCACTCTGGAGGAAGCCAGCTGCCAGGCTGTGAGAGAATGCTCAAGCAGCCCCATGGAGAGACCCACAGGGTGAGGCACTCCCGCTGACGATGGCATGGGAGGGAGCCATCTTGGAAGCAGGTTATCCAGCCCCAGCCACACCTTCAGATGGCTGCAGTCCTGGCCGACAGCTTGAGCACAACTTCATAAGAGACCCCAAGCCAGAACCATCCAGCAGAGACATTCCAGGGTTCCTGACCCACAAAAACTGAGGTTATAAACTGTTTTAAGCCACTAAATTATGGGGTAATTTATTTCATAAGTATAAATAAGCAATATAGACATCAACACCTGGCTGTATAAACTATAGGGGGTCAAGAGGTGACTTGCTGACTGAAGCCCCTAAAAGCCCAGGTTGATGTGATCAAAATTCTGCTCCCTCACATGACAAGCTCCAGAAACTGAGACGTCCCTAACAGGCTATTATGCTTCTGTAGGAAAGATCAGAGACTCATCCTATATCCCTTTATAAAGCCCAGGTTGATGTGATCAAAATTCTGCTCCCTCACATGACAAGCTCCAGAAACTGAGAAGTCCCTAACAGGCTATTATGCTTCTGTAGGAAAGATCAGAGACCCCTCCTATATCCCTTTACAGCTCCAGAAACTGAGACGTCCCTAACAGGCTATTATGCTTCTGTAGGAAAGATCAGAGACTCATCCTATATCCCTTTATATCTTGGCTGACAGGAAGCTCATGGCTCAGAGTGTTGCTCAAACACTGGACTCCTGTTAGTGTAAGTCCGGGGATATTTGTTCCCCCACCCCTGTATAACTTTTTCATTTTTCTATATTTACTTTAAATGTCTAGTTATATGAGCCTTTTGAGATAAAACATATCATTTTGCAAAAAAAGGTGGGCATGAATGAAAAATAAATCAATGAATAAATGAAAGAAGTAAAGGAATAAAGGGAATTAATGAATAAGGAGAAATAGAGAGGCAGGATGAGATGCCCCCCCCCCCCCAATACCTGCACTGACTCCCACGAGCAGTCTTCCCAGCATGATCATCTCAAAGGAGCCTGCTTTGCGGCTGAAGCCAAACAGGATCGCTGCAGCCACCACAAAGATGTTATTCACCAGGAGGGACGTCTTCCTTGGGAGAAGTGGAACACAGGCAAGAGAGGCTGTGGTTCAGTCCAGAGGGACCGTCTCTGGGAACCCATCTTTGCAAATCCAGTGAGCTCTGATCAGACACACAGACCTGTGTGTATGTGTGTGTACCATTCAAGGAGGCTAAGCTCTATGAATGGAAATGACCACCGGCCATTGTACCTAGGATCACTCATTGTATGCCTTGAGGGGCATATCCCATTCCCCTTCACCAGTATACCCCTAAATTACTCTCCTTTCTACCGGCACCACAGTTTGAAATGACAGAACTTATCTTATGGCTTTTCCCCTTCAGATTAAGCATTGTTCTCCCCAAACTCCTTCAAAAAATGAGGGAACTGACAGATAATTTCTCAGACTCAATAAAACCCTAGGGAGGAAGAACAGTGGCTTCTAGAGTAAGGAAGGAGAGGCAAGGAAAGCCAAGTACAGTTCGCTCACGTTTTCCTCCAAGTATTATAAAGTCACTTCTCAGAACCTTCTGGATGGCTGAATGTCCCAACACTTAGGTCAAGGGACAGACTCCAAACCAAGGAGGAGACACTGGAAATGTCACCATGATGAAGCATCAGATTTGGGCTCCTGATATTGAGCTCGTAAGTGCTGTCAAACAGATCACCCAGGAGAGCTCCCTGTGGATTGTATGGTTCACTGTACTAATAGGGAAACTGAACACCAGAGGAGGCCAGTATTCTGCCCAAAGCCAGAATATGAGTCAAAGCTCAGGTTTCCTGTGCCTACAGAATGGAAAATGACAGATTATAACAAACTTGATCCAGTAGTAACTCCAATTGTAACTATTAATTGCAATTGTAACAACCTATGATTTCCTCACTGGAATTAGTAAATACCATTAATAATAATAATAAATTATTTTGATCTGGTGAATTCATTTTGTTCCATTTCAGACAGACATTGGCCAGCCACCAAAAAAAAAAAAAAACCATAGACAATACCAGCAATACTTAACTTTCACTTGGCAGAGACAGTAATACACCTTTACCAACCTGCCTTAAGTATATAGCAGCTCTCTAGCTGTGGGCCACAACCTACTCGACAGGGACCTGTGCATCCCCCAGGGCAGCCTGCTGGCCCACCACTTTGATGAGCTCATACTGAAAGGGCCTGGAGAAGAGGAAGCAGCCAGTGCACCAGATGTCTTGGTAAGGTACAAGCATGACAAGAGTGGAAGATTAAAAATGAGAGAGGGCCTGCCATATCGATGAAGTTCCTGAGGTCTAGTGGACTAAGATATGTCAGCATATTTCCTTCAAACTGCATGACAAATCGCTGCATCTTGGTTCCCTTTAAGAGGAGGAACAAATCTCAAAGAGCTTCTTTTCATTTTGAAGGTAGCATGTACCACGTTGGGGGTTGTGTTCTGACACATTAACCAGGTGACTTGAAAATCTGGCAGCTCTGAGTGGAGCTAAGCAAGAGGAGAATTCTCTAGTGGGTCAAGGCCAAATTCAAAGAGCTCTGCCTCCTAAACTTTTTTTTTTGGTGGCTGGCCAGTATGAGGATTCAAACCCTTGACCTCCCCTTGAGCCTTTAGACCTAGGAGATCCTATGGTGCTTGAAGTGTCTATGGCAGTTAGACTACTCTAAAAGGAGGATCACAATGCACAAAATCTAAAATTTCTGAGTAGAGCTACTCTCCTTCAGCAAATTACTGTCCTTTTAATGATAAATAGCTCCTGGCCTTGTCACCAGGTCATTGTGGGGAATAAAACACCAGACCATGGGACACCAGGTGGCCATGTACCCATCATGAACTGCATGCCATATGACATGCCTGTGCTAAGGTTGAATGTGCCTGGTAGCACTCCATCAATGAATAAAAGTGATATACAACGAATTTGCCCCATGTTGGTTCCAGTTTCCCATAAGTAGGTTATTCACATCAGCATGGCCCTAAAAGATATTGAAGGAGTTAAACCCTTCCTGAATGTGCCTGGTAGCACTCCATCAATGAATAAAAGTGATATACAACGAATTTGCCCCATGTCGGTTCCAGTTTCCCATAAGTAGGTTATTCACATCAGCATGGCCCTAAAAGATATTGAAGGAGTTAAACCCTTCCTATAAGACAGAATTTTGAGCATGGAATTTTGTCCTTTTTTCAAAGGGTTTGGTTGGACAAAGTCTTAGATGAAGCAGTATTTGAAGACTGGTTTCAACAGTGTAGGGAAAGGGTACAAAGATGGATCTCTCAGAATTGGCTCAGATCCTGAAAATATACATCTGTGTTCCTGCTCACCAGAAGTCCCCTGCCACTGCAGAAGAGACTCTTCATAATCAAATGGACAGGATGACCCTCTCTGTGGACAGCACTCAACTGCCTTCCTTGACCAGCCTAGTGCTTGCTCAGTCTGCTGATAAACAAAGCAGGTAGGGTGCGGGAACAGGAAGTGCACACAAGCTCCACAGCAGGGGTTTTTATCACCAGGCTGACTAACCAACCTGCTACCCCACCCAGCCAGCCCTGAGCACCCAATAATGGCAACAAATTTCAGGGCTCCTGTCACCTACCGGGTAGAAGAACTACACTAGATTCCTGCCACTGAGGATGGGACCGTAGTTTGGTGCACCTGGCACAGGCATATGTGCTGAATTCGAATTAGCCATTCCTCCCCTTCATGCTATGGCAGTACCATTCTCCTAAGTGAGGACATGGCATTTGCCCTTTCTGCCATGTGGGGACATAGCGACAAGACGCCAGAGGATGGGAGTCACACAGCAACGGCCTCGTGACTGCCTGCAAAAACCAGGCTAGAACCTCTGTCTGTATTTCCAGGCTTTCTGTATCATATGCTTTAAAATAAATTTACGTACTACTTTCCTTTTCCTCAATGAGTTTTTTCCTGCTCTTTCTTCTTCTTTCCTCCTCCTCTAGCATGTCTTGATGGCAGTTAAGTTTGCTATTAAGTGCAGAGGAAGCACTTACCTTCCCAGTGTGATGGCCAGGGGGCCTGCAAGCAGCGCTCCAAAGAGGCCCCCCAGAGGGTAAAGAGACACGATGAGGGACCACACAAGCAGAACCAGGTGGTCCAGCAGTGGCCCACCAGTCCGTGCCTGCCATGTCTCATTGGTGAATTCCTGAATGTGCTGTGGAAAGAGATGCCAGTCAGCCCTCTGGGGAGGAGGAGTGTGGTTCTGGACAAGACAGGCCTTTTCCCCAACAGGGCTCCATGCCCCTGCAGAGCAGGCACCAAGTGTCCTGAGCAATACTGCTCCCCACAGCGCAGGAACAAACTCGCCTGAGCCCCTCCCGTGTGCAGGGCGCTATGCTGGTTTCTTCCACATGCAATAGCTCCTGTTGCCTAGAGCTGGACACTCTCCATTTGCCCCTCTCTGGGAAAACACTGTTTCTCTACACACACAACATTTCTGACAACAAATGTGTGGGTTTTCACCACACCAAGCAATTCTCCAACTCTTTGGACGCCAGCTAGATGCACTATAATTTAATCCTGACACTATCTACCTGGAGTTAGCATCAAATCCCACAAGTCAAAGGGCTCAGTCTCACAAGACTGGCCCACTTCAGACGCCAATTGCTAGTCCAGGCCTCCTGTACTTCTAACCGACCAGCTATAAATCAGGGGTTCTTATGACCCTCCCCGTGGGTTTGGTAATTTGCTAGAGCAGCTCACAGAACTCAGGAAGGCACTTTACTTTCGTTTACTGGTTTATTATATAGGATACAACTCAGAAAGGACCAGATGGAAGAGATACATAGAGCAAAGTCTTGGGGGTGGTGCTCGGAGTTTCCGTGCCACGTCCAGGAGCACCACCTTCCCAGCACTTCAATGCGCTCCCAGACTGGAGCTCATCAAATCTTGCTGTTCAAGAGTTTTTGTTTGTTTGTTTTTGATTGTGCATTTTCAAATTTAATGGATGAATCAAGAGTTTTATAGAGCGTAATCTTCAGCCCTCCCTCCCCTTCTCAGAGGCCAGGGGGTGGGACTGAAAGTTCTGACCCTCTAATCACTTGGAGTTTCTGGTGACCAGCTCCATCCTGAGGCTCCCTACCTAGGAGCCTCACTCTAAGTCACCTCATTAGCATAAACTCACATATGACCGAAAGAGGTTCCTCACAAGTAACAAAAGACACTCCTATCACTCAGGAAATTCCAAAGTTTTCAGGAGCTCTGTGCTGATAACCAAGGAGAAAGACCACATGTATTTCTTATTACACTACACCCTCCCAATCCACTGTAGCCCCTTCCCACCCTGCTTTTGCCCCAGGATGCCACCTGTAAGGCCCACATCAGTGGCTCTCTTGCTGACTGGCTTTCTGCTGGGCTTGGCCAATGGTGAGTGCCAGCAGGACATCAGAGGAAGCAGGAGTGGGAGGTAGAGGTGTTTGTCCCCTGGCTCCTTCCCTGTGTGGTCACCTCAGGCTGGCTGCGACCCTCTTAACGGAGCCTACACCACATGGCTCCTTTGGTAACTGCTCCTTGTGCTGTGTCTTCTGGGGTAGGGGCGGCAGCCACTGAGGTGCTGCTAAGTCCACATTACCACACTCTCCCTTGTTGTGTGCCTTCTCTGCACCACACTACTCAAGTCTTTGTGCATCACCCTTTGTGGTATCTAAACCTACTTGACTTGTCTTGAGTGTGCCATGTGTTTCCTTGGGACCCTGACTGTGACAAGCCCTCAGATGTGTGCCATTAGATACACATTACTTTGTTAGATACACATTAGGCCCAGAGAGGTGAAATGACTTGCCCATGGCTTCAGCCACAGGTCAGGGCTGCACGCAAGTAGTTTGGACTCCCTAGAGCCCCATCCCCCAGAGCTGTCCCTTCAGGTGAATGAGTGGAAGCCCCAGAGTTAGGAAAGACTGTGCATGGGGAAGACCTGGCCACTCTTCCCTTGGTTAAAAGTGAAATCTCAGTCTTAGGCCTCCCAACAGGATGTGAGGGAGGGCAGAGGGTGTAGGTGTTGGGTCAGCTCTCCCCTGCCCTAGCCAGCTCGGGGTGATGGCTGTCAGCCTGGTGCCTGCCAGGTGCCTCTGGGGGAGGAACTGTCCAGGGGAGCTGAGCCCAGGGCCAGCCTCCTCTGACCTTGGCTGGAACCCCTTAAGAGTGACACTGACAAAGATTCTCTCCTTGACCAACTCTGCTCAGACTCTTCTGACCTCTTTTTCGACTGGGCCTCAACTTTTGAGCTTCTGTGTTTGTCTCTGCATTGTCAATTTTAGCAAGAAGCCTGCTAAGTTGGTTTAGCTAGAATCCCCCATCCTCCATATCTGATCACCCCTGATATCTAATCAGGCTCCTCATCCTCCACCATCCTTCAAGTGATGTCTGACCACCCTAGCCTGTCTTCAGCAAGAATCCTGTCAGGTCATTTTAGCCAGAATCCCTCTTACCTCTGATATTTACTCTTAGTAATTTTCTATCCACTGATCCCTGTAACTGTTTTCCATTAAAATTTATTCCCTGTAAATTGCTTGTTCTTTCAGTAAATTTCCATAACTAACCTCTCACTCTATTTCTCCTTGTCTGCCTTTTAAGATAACACCTCTGGGGCAGAAGTCACAAGATGTTTGCCCAGGGTGTT